AGGGTTTCATTTGCCTTGGGAAGTGCCGCGGGGGGAGGTAAGGTGGGAAGGAGACGTCAAGTATATTTTAGGAAAGAATGATCGAGCAGTTTTCGGATGCACCTGGGAACTACTCCGTTCTATTTCTGTTTGTGTGCGTGCTTCTGCACTGCGGAATTTGCAGGAGCTGACTGTATGAAGCGGCGATGCTGGCGACTGATAGAGGTGAAGTAATAGAATTCACCTTTCGGAGTACTCCAGCGTACCACCGCCTCAGTGAATGCCTCCGGATCACATGTGACAGACAGAGGGAAAGTTCATGAGATAGGAGGAAGGTTGATGATGGGTAGGCCTCTCATGGTCCAACAAAATTTGGAGTGCGCGATATCATAGGTACATCTCTTTTCGTGGGTGAAACCAACCACCCCGAAACTACTGAGGCGAACAAACATTTATAATGTGAAACCATCGAGGGGGAATACAATTAAAAGCGAATGATTGGACAGAAACAAATAAAGGTATCGCCTCTGGCAATGCATACGTAGTATTCTGATCGCAAACAAAGATGAGACTACTGAATAAAATTGCTTACTGTATTCTCCTCGAACTTTTCTCACGAAATCCACTGCATCACTATATTTGCGATCCTCAATCAACTGCAGTAAATACAGTGCTGGTTTTAACACGGGAGCAGACATCCCCTACTTGAACTACCAACGAAATCAGCATGAGCTGATTGGCAGCGAGTTGCTAAAACGCACACGCTTATGCGCTTCAGAAAGCATTTTTCGGATAAATCACTGTTTTTTAAACATATATGACAAGAACGCAACTCATAGGACAAACATGGAAAACTATTCGTAATTCAACATTTATGGAAAAACAAATCATAGAAATTATCAAACCACCAGTACAATGAAAAAGAAAACAATAAAGAAGCGTTCCAAGAAAATGTGCTCCGAAATAGAAAACCAAGAAGAGGAGAGAAATCACACTTGATGGAGTCGAATGAGCTACGCACACTATGATGGAAATTATTTCAAAGACAAAGAAAAACAAAGCAACAAATAATCTTGATACTGAAACAACGAATGACGGCAACGGTATAAAGTAATCTAAACAACCACACAGGTCTACTTTCCCGCAGTGGCTTCGGCAGCACGACGAGCTGCTGCTCGCTTTCCGACCATAGCTGTGAAGCCACTTTTAATGGCTGTTACAGAACAACGTGATCCACAGGTATGACATTGAAGGAAGAACAGGCGAGTGTCTTTGGTTAACTCAGTATCCGAGGAACGACACGTATGACACATCACGTACTCTTCTGAAAAACTCCATCCATCGTAAATTTGTTATGCATTTGTCAGTAATTTCAAAAAGACAGGACCATTTGCGGTCGAGTGAATGAATAACTAGCGAGACCCGAGAGAGATTTAGAAGCCACAAGTTTTATACTATGGTTATGTGTGATGATTGATGACCATAACCTATTATATTAGGTTGGAAAGAAAGTTCTGCGACACTCTTTCTAAAATTTTCTTTTTTTCTGAAAAATTCATAGGTAACATTTATGACTAACAAATGGTAGAGCATTCTCGAGGCTTCAATCCACGAGGTGGATATAAGTGCTGCAGTCAGTAGTTATCCAAGAAAATTCAAAAAACCTCGACCACTAGTAAATCCATACTCCGAGTCACTGTCTAGTACAATGTCCATAACTATGGATTCGTGTCAACGACCAACACTATCTGCAATAGCTTCTAATAGGCATGCCGTTCACCGCTACAGCGTGTTTCACCTTTACCAGCGCTTCCGATCTTTTATAAGAAGCCAGCAGCGTCCCTCACACTCCATTACAGGTAGGGCTCTTACAGAGCTCCACTACATATCCTTCGTTATGGGCACCATTGTGTAGGTAGAGGCCTAGGCTGTGGAATACCAGAAGCTGGCCGAGGCAGCTCGTCAAGAGCCCTCGTACCGCGACAATATTCATTTCTTTCATGACATTGCGAATCACCATGATCCGAAATGAGCCCGGTAAGAAATTCTGGAGCTGCGGCAAGATTTCTTACCTCTCTTAGCGTATTCCCCTGGTCGAGCTGTAAATACCTGCCACCTATCCTGGACCTTAATCATCATCTTGATAAAAATAATTAGACGATCAACTCCAACTCGAAAGTGAGGTCGCCTCCTTTCTCGACCCGCACTCCGCTGGGTTTTGGCGAAGGAGCATCAAGAAATTTTCTGAGCGTTGGAGACAAGTGGTGGACACTCATGGTAGATATAAGACCGGTCAGAAGTTGTAACCAAAAAAGATAAAATTAAAATCAAAAATTTGGAAAAAGTGTCGCAGGACTTTCTTTCCAACCTAATAGATACAGAAAAAAGAGAAAGCAAATACCAAAAAAAAATCGAAAGAGCGTTTGCTCGTACTGAAGGATCGCTTCTTCAAAATTCCTAGTAACTTGGTACTGAACGCCGTCGTTTACAAAGAATATAATCGTTTGCCATTTGCAATCACCTTACCGATCGCAAAATGAACTTGTGCGGAGTGAAGGAAATGAGACAAAGACAAAAACAAACACGAGAGTTCTCTCCTGTGAGTGATTGAGGTCGAGTGAAACAAGGTTTTTTTGAAGTAGCAGTGTTAGTTTTTGTTTTCGATTAATCGAGAGACTTACTAATGTATTTCCTTAACACGCTTTCGAAGTGTTTCTGTTGAAACCGGCCCTTCACAATGAGGCAGTTGTTACCATCAATTGATCCAGTAGTACCTGAACGAAAAACCATAGTCAAACATAGCCGAAAAAACACATTGCGTTGCATTCAAGCGTTGCTTGGATGCTCCCTGAAAATGTAACCTATCCATATCTAATCGAGGAAAACTGCGGAAAGGCACTTACACCTTATCGAACATAATCGTTTCTAACTGAGACGATAGCCTATGACCTCTACATCACACTTGTTACCCTTATCAAGTTAAATGCTGCTACCTTGCTGACTCCTCACTTCCACTGAATCTTCTTGCGACGTCATGCAAGCCCTCAAAGGAAAGGGCCTTTCAGGTATCCGATTTTGTACGGAATCCCGGGTTGGTATCCCTATCTAATCATACACTCAGAGCCTGTGCTCTGAATGTTGATTAGATATGACCGCCCTTCCGCAACTCCACTTGATTAGATATTGTCACTTCGATTAGATATTATGAGTGCCCCCCCCCCTCCCGACTACATTTTCACCAGACGCTCTCACTATTTGTGTCTTTCTGCCAGATGAAAAAGATTATTCACGAAAAACGGGAACTGAAAAATGGAGAAAATGACATAATTACCAAGTTCGGCGAGAAGGAACTGAAGTACGTGCTTGTCCTGTCGTTTCATTAATCGACAAATCTCAGCGAAATTGGAGAAGGCGGTCTTCTTACTTCCTGCTCGGGCAACCTTAATAGCATATTTTTTATTGCTGGCAACAAATCCTTTGATAAGATTAGAATTTTCTACAGTCACAAGTAAATGGGTGACACAATAACGAGGTAGTGACAAGATGTAGCTAACTAGATACGACAATGGTAAGAAAAGAAAACGAAAATTCAGAGCCAACTGAATACGGACTTGGAATATAACTAACAAAGTACCAAGAATGTCCTATGCATGTCTCAGAAATGTTTACACAAAAACTTAGCTTACTCACTCTACTCTTTGACACTCAGTGAAAAACGTATGCGTTTCCGTTTCCGTTTTGATTAAGCAAGGCATCGCAAAGTTGCGCAAAATAGACACAAAACGCTTACCTCTGGCGGTTTCATGGCAAACTTCTTCTTTTCCCCGGAAAGTTCCGGGTTTTTCTCACGCATGATATTGAAAACAAGGGTTAAACATTCATCATATGAATAATCAGGCCAGGGTCGTTGAGCATCAATAAGGTTTGAGACTCCAATACCGATTCCTTAAGCAACATTGCAGTTGACTTTATTGCTAGTACTGTGAATCGAATCATCCTCTTACCTAAATCCAAGAGTCCATCTTCCTTCTTTTCTTCTTCTTCTTCGACCTTTGGCTTTTTCTTTTTCTTGCCACCAAGTTTGAGTTCGCCTTAGATACGAGTTTTCATGAAAGTTTGAGAGGCTGAAAACTCTTTACTTACCTAAGTCATCTGCTACAGCTTCAGCCGTCGGTGCCGGTTCATCGTCATCGAGTTTGATTACTTTTTTAGTCTTTTTCTTCTTGCCGAGATTGAGCTCCTAAAACCAGAGCGAATTCAGAATCGTCTTTCGAAATTGAACTTCGTAAAGATATTACTTACAAGGTCGTCGTCAGCCATGATTGGAATTGACTATGCTGAAGAGAAATTATGAAAGGAATATGAGCGACGTAACGACGTAAATGATGCAACCTTACGAATCAGAAAACCAAAACGCGAGAACGAGAAAACAAGGACGGCTAGGATTGAAGGCAAGCAGATTGATGTTGGCCTTTATGCAGATAGAAAAGAAACGACTTCGAAACCGGAAGTGAGTTAGAATTTATGTAAAATCACTGAACTCGTTTCTGAATGAAATTTGGCGACACGTCCACGGTACGTGGTGTAGCTGCGCCAGAGGTACAACAAAATACGACAGACGGTTCGAGCCCGCAATTGCTTTTTTGTGCATGGTAAAAGTAAAGATTGAGCAGAATTCAGTGTCTCAATAAGAAAAGTCCCCAAACAGAAAATTTGGGGATCAAGTCAGCAGAAGTTTAGCGAAAGGAAAGTTCGGTCTTCGTTATTCACAGTGTGCAATTGCACACTTGGTGGGGAACAGTATTTGAAAACATTCGTCTATAAAAGGAACACGATATCTGGGGCGGAAGTCGAGGACAGTCAAATGCAAAAACCGTTCATTTCACAAGTGCGCAAATGCTTAGACTGGATCTGCCTGAAAAACGATAGCGTAATAGGGGGGGGAAGATAAGGTGTTTGGTGAGACAGCATCGTGCTTTTGTTTACTTTGTCCTCCACATTTAAAGCGGAACCGATTGCATACTGCTAAATTCGACCACTCGAAAGTCCCTAAAAATTAGAGGGCATATTCCAATCTATCGTAAAACTCGAACAGCCTTCAACTCGACGACTCAGAGGAAATGAAGCTATGGGGACAGGGGCGGTGGCATGCGGCCCGAAGATGGCGCGAGGTCCGGAGCGGCGCGTTATGCTGACGACTTATGTAGAAGTACTTGTCGGGATTAAGAGTTTGTGTCAGAGCTTCCTTTAGGAAGAGGTCAGTGAAACAACACTTGAAAGATTATGTAGAAGCTCAGAGAGGCGGTATTCAAGTGCCTTCCGCCAAGGGGATTATATCCCTGTATTCTTGATTCAATCCTCTGGGGCGGGACAAAAAAGGGTTGGTATAGGACTCTGTATTCTACTGCCAGAGCGAGGAGGGGGATATATTCCCCTGAAAGGATTGAATACGCTCCAGGCTGAAACGATTACGGTAGGCCTCCTTTACCTTGACGGTGTTTGCAGATGACAACATATTCTGAAGACGGTTAGAGCAATAAAGAAGGGCCTACTTCTGCTCACGGAAAGTCATCTCAGGAATATTCGGCTGCAAGGTTTCATCGACGTTGGCACCCTGAGCAAAGTTGCAGCAGAAACAAAAGCAGGTCTTCAAGGAAAAAACGTTTTTGGTGTCTTTGATGGGGGTTGCAAAAATGCTTTACAGGAAGCTGCACACTTGAGATGGATATTGTCGACGCTCACCTCTGAAAATTGACCGCCACCCGTGAAATTCTCCTGGAATGCAAATGCAAGGAAATAAAATGGCTAAATATCACTATACTCCAGGAACACTCGTACCTACTCGTGGCGATGATTACATATCAAAAGATTATCGAATAGTTTGAAATCGTACAGAGCGCACAGCTTTTTGCCTTATTCATTCTGATACCACATTTAGGCGTTGTCAAGGTTTCAGCCCAGAAGGTTCTTCTTCTTCTCCCTAGCGTTAGTCCCGCGCAGTCGCAGGGTCCGCTGTCTTTGTCAGTCGTCGCCACTTTCTGTCCAGGGCATCTTCTGCTGTGGCCGTGACTTCACTTAGGTCCTTCTTGATGACGTCTCTCCACCTCTTCTTTGGGGCTCCTTGCCTTGTGCTTCGAAGTCCATTGCTGTTC